CAGCAGGCCCATAGCCAGGATTTTGATTCGGGGGGGAGGGACTGAGTCTGAGTGAAAGAGGGTCTACCCTAGCAAACCTTTTGTATCATTACCCCAATACCCCCATGCATATGGGATATATTGAGCATGGTGATTAGATCATGATATGAATAAACATAACAATTTAAATAATGTAACAGTAAGGCTTTCTCGTGGACAACCATGAGAATTTCAGGGGGGGGGGGCTGAAGCCCCTCAAGCCCCCCCCCCCCACTACATGCCTGACTCCCAGAAATCCCAGCCAGTTTACTAGCTGTTAGGATTTCTGGGAGTTGAAGGCCAAAACATCTGGGGACCCCCAGGTTGAGAACCAGTGGTCTGTTTGAAGGTTCATCCGCACAATATGGAAAGTATGAAGTGCCTTCCATTTGAGCTTCATCCTAACATACTGTCTCCTGGTGTACTGGTTGCCTGTTGTGAAAATGGCATGTTTTCATATTTAACTTATACCAAGTGCATCTAGGAGTGCCTACCCACCACTATTTAGTGTTCTCTCTGTTGTTGAGGTACCCTAAAAATAATGGTAACCGTGAGACCCATGTGTATGATTCTTAAGTTACACTGTTATGTTTTTATGCATTGGATTGGAGATGTGCTTGTGAGTCTAAAGGCATAAAACATCACACCAACTGAGCATCCAAGCATCTGAAACTCTGCCTGACTTTTTGTGATAGTTATGGAGCCTGACTATCCCAACAAGTCAGACTGGCTGAGCAAGGGTTGGTAGAACTGGGAATTATGGAAATTTGGGAGGGAACACATTTTGAAACTCCCACAGGTATTGCAAGCATGATGAGCCACGCAGCTCTCAGCGTCAGTCTGTAGGATGGTTTATAGGAATACTGCTGCTGTGTGAGTTTTTCAATAGGAGCCTATACTGAAGTCTAAATATATTCAGACACAATTCAGATTTTCACAGGTAAGTGTGACCATTCCTGTTTTCTGGGAAGTAATTTTAAAAGTTCAGTTCTTTTGCACTCTTAGAAAAGCTGAAATGGAAATAAGACTAAGGACTGAACTGTTTTGATGTAAACATGGTAATATTTGGCCAGTTTCACCAATGACTTAGAGTTTTAAAAATAGATAATGGTAATAGTGTTCCTTTTCTGTTGATAATTATTGGAATGTGGTTTGTAATATATTGTTTTAGAAAACATTATTTTTTGTGGTTGCCAGTAGCTGGCAATATACCCGCAATCCAGACATACGTTGCATACAAATCTGTTTTGTAGCTGGTGGTTATCATGCTTCACATAGAATGAATTTCATAGATAAATAATGTGTTTTATTATTTTGAAATGATTGCAGCATTAATTTAGGTTGTCTTAAATTTAAGTGATCTTGAGTGTTTCCTTAAATTTTGTTTTATATTCAACCCCTTCTTGTGGAAGATGATCTAATCCTCCTTGTTTTAAAAGTGATCTTAGTCTGTATTCTCCAGCTCTATCTAGGATTATTTGTGGAGGCCAAAATGTAGGTGATTCTTTTTTTGCAAAAGAAGGTTGTTGACCTATCACAGAAACAACAATAATGCCATTGTTCTTGCATTGCTTTTGTTGTGAACTTGCTATGATTCCCTAATCCCGAAGTCTTACTCAAGACTAACCCACACAATTGTAGCTGGGATATATTTGTCCCAATTTGCACAATCTTGCATTTACTAAGTTGGAATCACATTTTCCAATCTATTTTTTTACCTCAGCTACATGGACAGCTTAATTCAGGGCAGAAATCTGGAACGGAAATCCTCCAAACTGGCCCAGAGGTAGCCACACACATGGTCCCCAACCAATACTGGTGAAGAGGCAAAGTTAAGCCAGGCCAGCGGTCTGAGATTGCATTCCCCCAGTGGACCATCACCTGAGTGTCCGTGACATTTGTAGTTGTCAGATGCTGCAGAGCTCTGAGTGCTCTTACCTATCACAGGTACCACATGCTGACAATAGCAGAAGCAACCATGCAGTCGCTGAGGGGATGATCACCACTCCTTCTCCTTGGTCACATGTGGACATTTGCAGATGTCAGCACAGGGGTCCTACAATGGCCAGAAGCTCTCACAGAGCTCTGCAGCCATCTTGCAATGATGATGGTGGTGACACGGGCCTGATCTGTCACATTTTCCCTGTGGACATCACCACAGAAATAAAGTATAGTTGCAGTGGCCCATGTGGACAGCAGACCACTCTTAATCACACTGCTCCGAAGCTACAGGGTGGTTCAGGAGTTTGGTCCAAACTCTGGAGTATCCCTCAAGTTTTCTAAAGGCGAAATGGGATAAGCAGCAGAAGTTGCAGGCCATTGTGGAGACATCCAGGAGCAACTGCACAATGTGTACATGCTCCTAAGCCATCGTAAATGATCCCCATGCTAATTAATGTTCATACTGGTATTGGAAATAATCCAGTAATAAGAGCCCTAGATATTGCTCTCTTTTGTTAAGTTTTCTCTCTTTCTTAAAACATAATTTTACACTAGCTGTTTCTGGAATGGGATGGTAGAATGAGCAGATGAGTAAGCTAAATGTGAAGTACTGGAATTCTGAGGTGACAGAATTGACTGGGGCAGTTTTACAAAACAATTTACTTTGCAGGTAGCCTGTGAGTTACAAATACCCAATTTACAAGCATCTCATAGTTAAGGAAGGGGGTGAAACAACTGGAAGTTATCATATGGAAAAGGTGTCTCAACTGATGCTTTACCACCAATCCTTGTTTCCATAACAAGCTAAATTTTCAAAATCCAATTATCACAGGGACAGAAATTGTGGTGAAATCTTCTGAACGGGGCACAAACAGAAAAACAAACACCAAAGTGCTTATGCTATCCAAAGAGATACACACACAAACATTCATATATGGATTTACACTTAATAAATGTATTTGTTCCGACTTACATACAAATTCAACTTAAGAACAAATGTAGAGAATCTATCTTGTTTGTAACTTGAAGACTTCCTTCGTAAGGATATATTCTACCTTCACTGCCAAGGCAACAATCTAGAGATTTCTTGACTTTGTCGTTTGATGAGGGACTAAAACTCTTTAGTTGAGAATTCCGAATACCCCCTCCTAAATCTCTAATCCCAGGGTTCAATAGGATTGACTCACGGAACTTAAACTGGAATCATAGTCAGGGCCGGCCCTAGGTAATTTTCAATGGTAAGCAAACATTATTTTGGCGCCCCCTCCCCCCAACCAATCACTGAAAAATAAAACGTAGAAGGTAGAGGTGAATAAAAGAGTTACCTTACAAACCAGAAATTTACTTACAACATTATGTTTATATAGTTACATTACACAAATTAACTTTTTTAAGAATGCAAATATTTTACTAAACTTAGCAACAATTTTAAGTTTTTGTTGTTATTTTTGGTCTACAAGTACTACACAAAGGTTTCCTGGTCATGCTGTCTCTTCAGAGAAGATTTTTCAGACTAGGGGTTTGCTAATAACAGAGAACTCAATCCCATGCTTGTTGGGTCTGTCAATCAAATTTGTTTTGGAGAACGCAGCCCCAGGAGAATAGACACCTCCTTTTTAAGAAAGTGAACTCTTGTCCTTCAAAAGTGCCATGCCAGCCTGGACCATTACAATGGGTGTGGCAACATAGTCAGCCTCTGGCCCCTTCACTTTAGTGGATACTTTAACATCCAGTTTTCCTTAACACAAATAAACTTGAACACTTTTAAAATTAAAAAGAGATTTTTCTGGCTTTCAATTTTGAAAAATCGTGTACTATTATATCTGTTTCCATTTCAT